GTAAAATATCAGCGAAAGAATTCGAAGTGACTCCACCGTTTCGTTTGGCAGTCTGGTACCAGCTTATTTAAGTAAGGAGTTATGTCGTTAAAAACCATATAACACAAAGAAGCAGACATTATTTTGTGCAGTAATGCTTAATGATCTAATAATAAACGAAACTCAAAAAGGCATATCCAAATATTGCAATGACATTGAAAACGATTTTGTTATGACTCAACTAAATTATAAAAATAGCTTTTATATAGGGTAACTTCTAATATGAAAAAAATGGTTCCAACTTGGACTGGGTAGGTTAAACAAAACCATTACAGAACAATACTTCAAGAGAGAACGTATCATATGACCTTTTATGTATCAAAAAGATTGGTAAATAAGTAACTACCACAGTATATATAATATTGTATTAAATAAAACAATCACTACAAATGGATTTACACACACCGTACTTGATATTTCGTACTTAAATAAGCAAGTGAGAAAAATCTGATCGATAATCGTTAGTTAGTAATCAATTTTTACCAAATATCTTTAGTCTAGCTTTAGTTCTGAGATGTTCCAATTATGTTTTGTAAACAAAGAACGGAAGCAGAATTTCATCAAATTACCTAAATTATTATACCCAGTAACTATTCAGAATACCGTGAAAGTAAAATCCACCAAACTATGTACAAACAAATACATTAATAGACATTAATGACATTGTGAACGAAAAAGAAATACTTGTATTGGTTTGCCATTGAGTATTTAAACTATGCTATGGTAACTAGACCTCACTGCTGACCGACAAGATTTTGAAAATGAATTAGTGTAGAAAAACTGTCTATGTACTTCTGACTGATATAAGTTATGAAACAACTAAAAACCAGGGGGGGGGGAGAAACGGTCAATTATTTCATTATAAATTTTTCTCAGTAGATATTGATATGAAGGATCCATTTATTCCGGTATAAAGGTTTGCGTAAGAATTGTGAAATAAAATAAAATAACTAATCAATTTTCCATGATTTTTTTAAAAAAGCTGTTTTACAGCTGTTATTACACTACAATGTTAACTGTGTTTTGAACAAGCTGAATCCAATAGAGTGAGATATACAAATAGCACAATATGAACAAAACTGATAAAATAAATCAATAATTAAAAAGAAAAATGAAACGATGAACTAATTAAAAGTTACGGAGGTCAAACCTATAAAGATACTAAAAAAAAAAAAGAAGAAAAACATACTGAATAAAGAAAATGCATATTTTTTTTCTCAGCATCATAATTAAAGAAAAAAAGGCAATTATTGATTAAATGTACGTTTTTATTTTTACAAAATACAATTGAGAATAAATTGTATATCTATGTCAATTAGTAGAAATTCTTCAATTATAGTTTACTCATAGAGTTTATTTCATGTAATCGTTAAAGAAAAAAACAAAACAAAAGTGTATACAACTTCAAGGAACTAGTTCTATTGAGTCGGGTTTTAAATAAACTGAATTAAGTTAGTTAATGGTATTGAATGTTATTAGACTTTATACAACGTGTGGATCTTTGAAAGGATTGAGTTATAAATAGTCATCCTTGGTAACATAGTTCATGTATACTAAACAAGAATGAAATTACACTATGGTTACCATTGTATGTACTTACGTTATTTATTAAACTAATTAATCAGTAGGAACTAATAATTAAGAACCAACATATAAGATGGTACATAATAACATGGTTTGACGTGTTGCACTTGAAAAATAAATAGTTTCATTTTGATGTTTATATATGTAAAGATAAACAAAATAAGAGAAAAGATGGATTGTGTCTAGCAGTGAAATTTAGGACGTACAATTCGTCGTATTTGGGACTTATTAGCTGAATGTATCTAAATCCAAGTATTGATGTACCCAGAAGAAATAAATGGGCAAAAGCTGGAAAGCATCCAATTAATGATTAATAAGCTATTCATTTTCAAGACATAAAATTTTTGTGAAATGTTTCATTATATCTATTTTAAATAGAAACTATTATTCAAATAACAATTACACTAACTAAATTAATGAAGATTTGTTCAGTCTCCTTGAAGTATAATTTGAAGACCAAAAATAAAAGATTTATAACTAAAATAAATGTTGTTATCTTTATCTGGCCATATTTCTGATGTAGCTTACTCAGCTGATCAGTAACGATAACCGAATCCCCACTTTACTGGTGTTTACTTGATGATTTTGTTGTGTAATAACGCAACATCAATCGTTGTTTCTCCAGCATTCTTTAACAAAAGATTTTTCACCTCCAGAAGGTAAAAATATCATACAAAAAATCTACTGTTATACTAACAACGATGTCATTAGGAGCATACAGCGAAATAGGAACCTAAAAGAGGAAGCACACAAACAGAGAGTAGCAGAGATTATATTTTTATTATGAAGTGTAGGTTTTCTTTGACCTGCATACTCGTCAGAACTACAAATTGATGGTAAGTTGAGAAGTTTCTAGCAGTTTCAATATACATTACCCTTAGATTCAGTGATAAAACTGATTCAAGTCCGTGTTCGATTAAATGTAATTTTAACCACGAAGACTGCATCAAAATGTAATAAATATCGCTAATCAGACCATTCAGAAATGTATTTTGTGTGTAACTAAAGGTTTTGAACAAACACATTGAAACCTAAGACGAAAAGTATGAACGGAAACACTATTTTTCCTAAGCACTGAAATATATATAGTAACCTAATAGATAATTTTAACGAACTATTTGAAATATATTTAATCCGAGAATGGTTTTAGTCACAAACTGACATCAACTTCAAGAATATAAAAAGGTAGGATGCACTGAACAACATCCTCTTTTAGTTTGAGACCTATTACTAGTATGCTCTTTTGCATATTTACATGATATTAAACATAAATATGATCTTCAATCCTCACAGAAAACGAGATTTTTCAACCAATGAATCTGAATCCAGTTGTTCATACTTTCAGTTTCATTCACAGTTGACCGTTGTCCAATAGGGTAATACTGTGGTGTGTGCTATTGATGTCGACAAATATAAGTAGTATGCGTCATCAATCAAAAGTAGGTAGAAGGTTAAGAAGATCGAAGAGAGAACGAGAACAAAGAATTATTGGTGTGGGGACGAAAGAACAATGAAGTCTGAGACGACTGATTAACATTTCCAAAATGAAGTATTTATTGTATGGTTCTTAGATTTTACTAAGCGATTCTGTAATTTTGTGTTAAATCACTTTCGATTGTCTCTACTTATCTTCTAGCTCACTACATTACTAATAACCGTCTTACTTAATTTATACTTAGTTGACAACATAAGTTATGGCTTCCATGAAGCCCCACCATCGGTGAAGAAGCCGACAAAATGCATTCCTCTGGCCACTATAATCAACAATGCGAGCATGTTCGGGATGCGATTCTTCCCCTCAAAATGCAAAATATTGTCATTCGAACTAATGATAGGGAGTGAAGTAGTTGAGTGTGTCGACAGCTTCACTTATCTTGGGAGTCTCATCAGCCCTTGTAGTCTGATGTGTGACGAAATCTCAGCATGGATACAGAAAGCTCGACTAGCTTTTACCAACTTGCGTCATTTATGGCGTAGGCGAGATATCCGTCTATCAACCAAAGGACGTGTTTACTGCGCAGCAGTTCGTTCCGTCCTACTTTATGGCTGTGAAACATGGCCGGTAAAAGTAGAGGATATTCGTAGGTTACTAGTATTTGATCATAGGTGTCTTCGAAATATTGCTCGTATATCCTGGGACCATCGAGTAAGTAATGCAGTTGTCAGGAAACGGGTACTAGGTGAGGATGGCAAATCAATTGATGAAGTAGTAAAACTTCATCAGTTGAGATGGCTGAGAAATGTGTTACGTTTGCCCAACCACCGACTGCCTCGACGTGAGATGTTTTTTTGTATAGGAGTAGATTGGAAGAAAGCTAAGGACGGCCAGACCAAAACATGGCATAAGTCTATGAAGTCACTGACAAGTGGACTGAGCCATGTTGTTAGGAGTAGACTACCCGGTTGAGATCCGCGAGATGATAACAACCAATGGTTGGAGACCTTGAATAACATGGCTCAAAATCGTTTGCAATGACACAGATGCATCCACTCTTTATGTTCTCCAAATTCTAATCTTCTGAATTCTTCCTGTCCCCTTTTTTTCTCTTTCCAAATTTATTTCACTGGATTATACTCTTCAAATAACATCGTCAAACCCTAATTTTTCCGATTACTGCTTATACTCTTACTACCTCTACCACTACGGAATTTGAATCGACAACTGCATCTCTGTGCTAATGTGGTATGTCAACTCAAACTGATGTACGTACTTACGATGTTCTACGTTGTTACTGGTTGACTGAATGGTTTACTGACTTTTAATTTATAACCTCCTCTCTCCTAAACTATCTACTGATCGAAAGTATCATATTCACTGTTGGTCCCAAGATATATTTATACAGTATTCAATTCGGAAATACTTTTTCTCATTGATTACTGTTATTACCAACCAATTAAAAAATAATGAAATTATATAAAATTTGGACTTTTAAAATGAAACAGTAATAATTCATGTAAGGGAAATAAACATATAAAAATATCCTAAATAATGATTGGATGATTTCAATATTAATATACTTTTAAACTTTTACTCAAATATGTTACCTTATTGATGTGAACACGTAAACACATTAGAAAATATTATGTGGTCATAATAGTTTCTATTCGTTAATCATTTTCTTATCAGTCAAAATAAAGAGGATGTCAATTTCATTAATGTACCACCCCCTTTCATAAGCATATATATATATAACAACATTAAGTATATTACTGTTGTGATAATTATTGTTAATTTTACTTATTTAGTATAAAAAATAATTTATGTTTGCTGATAAGTAACAAAAGGATAGTACAGCAAAACACGATCTCGTAGAAACACATTTTCAAAAGACTAAATCTTAATTAATTTTAACAAAAAACAATTAATAATAATAACTATGAGGCAAAAGTCTCTACGAAATTCTAATCGTTATTTCCATTTTCAATGGATCTGTTCAATAATGATTATAATTATAACTGTAATTATAATACCTAACAAAACATTTTCAATGACTATACAACATAGTCAAAAACCAAATGATTTCTATGGTGTTATTAATAATGATGATAATGATGCTGATGATTCAACTCTTAGCAGTAATAATAATTTTCAAAGATATTTGAGTGAACAATCATTCAATCCATATCAACATGAACTAAACAAATATCCTAATAGTATTACATATAAACGTGGTCCAGCTCCCTTAGCAACATCATTTAGAAATTCACCATCATTTTCATTTAATGGTGATATGCGTTCAATTTCTAATTTAAGACATATGATGTCTGGTGCTAATCCATTAACAGCATTTGGGTAATTTGATTTAATTAATGTTCATTTAAATGAGAAATGGAAAACAGAATTTTTTTTAAAAAAAAAGAAAAAAAAAAGATCTTGTTAAATTAACATCAATTTTGTTATTCATAAGAGAAAAAAAACAGATTGGCAATCAATAAAATATCCCTCCTAGTAACTGTTTGTTATAAAGGATACTTTGAAAAAAAAAACAGAAAATAAATGAAATAATAAATTAATGAATAGATAGTTTCTTTTTTTGCTTTAATCATAATTTGAATAGAAATGAAAGTATAGTAGTGAAGCAAAGGGTAATAAGGAAAAAGTTTGGAATTGGTTTTGGAATTACACTTTTAAATGTACTTTTAATGCTGATTTGTAAGTAACATTACCAGGGTTTAAGTTGATAATTTTGAATAAATTAAGCATTGGATAGATTGTTATAAATAATAAATTATATATTCGTTGTAATAATTCATTAATTAGAGAAATTAGATTTTCTGACGTTTCATGATTCCCTGTAAGCCATTTGTTATTCTCTGAAGAAGTGTCTTACATTGAGTCACGAAACGTCAGGAAATTTAATTTTTCTACTCATTTGGATATTACAAATATCTTAATTTATTTGTAATGTTAATTGTTTAAATGAGTAAAAAACCGAATCAAACAAGTAATAGTTAACAAAATAACATTCTAAATAAATGATAGGATACTATGATTACTCTAAAGAAAGATGAATAGCGGCATAGCAGTGATTACTGTTTTGTGTATATATTTTTTTAAAACTTTCTTTCAAAATAACATTCCTATGCATTATGTTAAGCAATTCTAATAGTTTTCTATCATTTAAATTGTTTTTCTCAAGTCAAAGAAATATATTAGAAAGTTCCAGGAAATAGATTTATTTACAATGAACATATGAGAATCACTGAATATCTTATTTTATGAAACTATTCTAGTTGTAGGGTAGTCAAGACAGCTTTTATTGCAAACGTACACCAGTTAAATAACTTTCTGAAACTAAAAAGTGATAAAAAGCTGTTTCCTGTTAGTTATAGACAAATTTAGTATTCTCATCTTTAAGCTCAAAAAAGGTTTAATCTAAAGCATTTATAACACATAGTAAGCAATAATAGCTTTACAGTTCTGTATGTGAATATATGATGGTTTACATTTGCAGCTTGATAAGTTTGCAAAATATACCGTGATCATTATCTAACATCATCATTTGTAGTTGATTCATTGACGACATAATAAACACTAAAGTTCAATTTTAGGAATTCATCTAGAAGCTAATCGGCTGAATGTTCATGATTATTCTCTAGATTGCTAGTATATTAATACTTATTTTCATGAATGGATCAATGTTAGACCACCATTAAAAACTTGAAAGCACTGGACGGCCATTTCGTTGTATTCCGGCTTAGTGGTCTAGAGGTTAAGCATTCGCACACGAGACTGAAGGTCATGGGTTCGAGTCCCGTGTGCGGGATAGTGGATGCGCACTGCAGAGGAGTCCTATACTAGGACGAAGTGGTCCTCCAGTGCTTTCAGGTTTACAATGGTGGTCTAAAATTGATCGATTCATGATCTCAATTAAAACTCATTCGTTTATACAATCATATACTGATACTTATTTTCAAGTTAATATCAGTTTGTGATCAACGAATTAGCCTACCCCCAAACTTATTTATCTAAATAATACTCAATAAACAAAAACAAAACACTAGAACTATTCAAAATGAATCGGATATAAATGAAACAAAAAATGGAAAGTTTTCTCAAGATAAATACAGTATATCAATAAAAGTATGATACATTTAGAACTTTAGTTAATTCACTTTTAGTGACAATTAACCGATATATGTCTATAATAATAAATGAGAATTCATTAGGTTTCATTCATTTCCACTAATAATGATTTCATTCCATTACATATTACTACTTCATTGGAATCAATATATTTCTATATTTTTCTTTACTGTTACACACAAATTAAAATACTACGTTAATAATAGTAGGTGTCGTTGTTATTGTACATGTTGATGTGACATTTGTTAATTCATTAGCTTTAATACACACCACAAATACATATATGTTAATGGTTATATTTAATATTATAACATTTACAATATACAATCATAACGCGTATTGATCATTGAATTCATTAAAAGGTAGAGAATATACATACATATATGTATTTGAAATGATGATGGATATTCTCAGCTCAGGTAAGATTTAGAACAACATATATAAGCGAACAATGTTGTCTTCGATTAGATCCTCATCAGGCTTTACTCTAATTTTATAAATGTTATCTCAATGCCTATATTTTTTTCTAATCATTGACCTATTTCCGATTATGTTACATCGATTTAAGCTTTTATTATTCTTATCAAAACTAGTACACCTGCCATCATACTATCAATTTGTACTTTTCACTTATTATGTAATCTTTCTTCGTTGTTATCATTGACTCATAAACTACCTTGATTGGTTTATTAATTTCATATATGCATATAAATATTACTGTATATTAGAGTAAAGCCTGATCAGATAGGATTTGTCAAATTAAAGGAAGAAAGTGTATAACTTGGAAAAAATACTTTCGATTTGTCGTACTATACGATACAAAATTATAAATAAATTTTTTTTTCATGGTTGTTAAAGATTGCAATTAATCAGTCTGTTATTGACATATGTGCATTCTGTAGCGATTGCCTCGATATTGTCTAAATTCACAAGCAGTATAAGCAAAGATAGATGGTGTCTAGCAATGGAATCCAGGACGCACGTTTCATCCTATGTGGGACTGGTCAGCTGGATGTACTTCCATCCCAGAGTTGATACTCACTCCGGGACTTGAACCCAGTACCGTTCGCCTCAAACGACATCGTGTTACACATTTAGCTGATCAACTGCAGTCCTAAACAGCAATGGGAAGATTCACACAAGCAATACCAAATTAATTTAAACTTCACCCCATTGCACAAGCAAGTGGTTATCAGGACTCGGTAGATAAGTGGATAACGCGATGGCGTTTGGAATGAACGGTACTGGGTTCGAGTCCCGGAGTGAAAGTATATCCAGCTGACGAGTACCAAATAAGATGAAACGCACATCCTGGATTCCACTGCTAGCCACCGTCCATTTTTTGCTGAACTTTTTTGCCCAACTTGAAACTTTCCTGAAAAATATATTATCAAATGATATAATATATACAGAAATAATTACTTTCCTAGTTTTGTATAGCTTTATCAATGTGGATAATTATTTTATCAAAGAAATAAATATAAACTAAAAAAAAGAATTACAACTTTAATCGGTTAACTTTTTTTAGGTCAACTAATGAAGAGAACAGAATATTTTAATTCTGACAACTAGATAGGCATAATTAACTATCCAATAAGTTAGTATGATTTTTGACAATGATAGGAAAGATTTACAGCTCAGAAAGAGGATTTTATAGGTGATCCTTTCTCTAAACAAACAATTAAGGTTTTGCAGTAATGCTAATCAACACACAGAAACTAACAAGATATACATAACTATCTTTAACATTATATTCGGATAAATAATTCAGTAAAATTAGAGGGTGATAACAAAATGGGAAGAATTTAATAGATTTACATGTTGATAAATTATAACATTAACTAAGACAGATATAGTAATGCACAAATGTTCAATCTTCAAACAGGTAGATAGGCATAGTATGAAAGAACTATAGAAATATTTGGAGAAATTTCACTTGGGAAATATTCAATCTTCATGTATACCTTTCTTCTAATTTCAAAAAATATACAGGTGAATAACAAGGAGCATTAAATTGACACCATACTTTGACAAAGTGGTTTCTGGTAGAAATCACATGAATAATCATAAAAAGCTATTCACCTGTGAAAGTGCCTTTTGTTAGATTGATGACCTTAAGTTTTCAATGATTCATTTATAAATTACAATAAGAATTCTTTTTTGTAATGATTTTTTGGTTAATCGTAAGGCCTGTAATTGATCAGTTTACTTTGGCATGTGTGCACCCTAAGAGGATTGTCTCAATATTCCCATTTAGTCAAAAAAATTTTAGTATAGGGGTTGTGGAGATTATTAAGTTTTTTTTATTGAGATCATGAACTTAATAATCTCCACCACCCCTATACTAGTAATCAACATGTGCTCACTAGTGACTAGCTTCGTGAGGGAATTCTCGGAGTTCTAGTGAGAAGCCGTGATCAGTGGAGCTAATCCATGTCGGGTAGAGACAGGTATCTACTTTAGTACAATGGAAGTTGGTCGCGCAATTTCGTAGATTGGTTGATGTTAGATACTGTAACCATTGGATGCCGGCTCAGAGGTCCAGTAGGTTAAGCGTCTGCGCGCGAGACCGAAGGCCCTGGGTTCGAATCCCGCGAGCGGGATCGTGGATGCGCACTGCTGAGGAGTCCCACAATAGGACGAAATGGCCGTCCAGTGCTTCCAGGTTTCAAAAGGTGGTCTAACACCAATCGGCTCATGATCTCAATCAAAATTTTTTTTATTAAAGTTGAATATTGGCTATCAATTGTATTTAAATAAAAGCCTTTACCATCAAAATTCACACCGGTTGCAGAAGCTGATAGCTAACTGAATTCAGTACTTCAGTGGATAAAACACTGACGTTAGAAACAATAGTTATGGTATTCGAGTCTCAAAGTGAACAACAACATTGAAATATAGGTAATCCCAAGTGACGAATATCGAATAAGATGAAATAAGCGCCCTGGATTCTCATACTTATCATAAACCAGTTTTAATAATATACTTTAAGCATTGCTGCAGAAACTATTTCATTCTAAAAACAATCATGATCAATTTAACAGATGAAGTATTAACAAAAATGTGAATTATAAACTTTTCTATTTCATTATTTATTTATTTTAAGTATTGCTACTGAACGTTGAATTTTCAAACAAATATGTAACTAATTCACTTGGTATTGTTTGGCTTGTATCTTCCCATTGAAGTTTAAAACTGAAATTGGTCATT